CTAATTTTACCCGCACTTTTGCTGAATATCCTGTGTTAAATATTTCATAAATATGACCCGGTTGAAATAGCCATAACGTCACCTTCTGATTTGTCGTAATAAATGTATTTCATTCAATAACAATGGAATAATTTTTAATATTGTTAACTGTTTGTATTTGTATTATTGGATAAGTATTGATTGTTTCCTAAAATGAATGGTAATAAAATTAAGCGATGATTACTATACAATAATTTAAATAGGCAATAAATTATTCAAATAATTTAATAAGAACTTTTGGAGTGCGTGTTTATAACGTAAATGAAGTTATCGCCAGATTCGAGTTTTTTTCAGCCCGAATTCGCTCAGGACCTTGTTCCAAATCTCCAATTCTTGTTCCACGCAGAACTTGACGAGCTCTATCCATTGGTGTAACCAGATTTTCGTTAGCGCAAACTAGTCGCCTACAAAATCGATTTTTCAATTTTTTCCCCCATGGAGTCAAGATATCCTGAAAAGCATTTCCAGCCCGAATTCGCTCAGAAAATTGTTCGAAATCTCCTATTCTTGTTTCAAGTAGAACTCGACGAGCTCTATCCAATGGTGTGATCAGATTCTCTATAGCTCAAATCGGTGATCTTGAAAAGCGATTTTACGAGTAATCTCCCATCGGATCCATGTATCCTCAGCAGTAATTTCACCCCGAATCTGCCTAGGAACTTATTCCAACTGTCCTATTCTCGTTTCAAGAAGAACTTGACGAGCTCTATCCAAGGGTATGCTCAGCTTTGCCAAAGCCCACAGTATGAGTTTTTGGACCATAGACAGTGCTACGCAAAAACCTAAAAATTATAATTTGAGTTATGGAAAGTTTGATTACACCAACTGATAGAGCTCATCGGGTTCTCCTTCGAACAAGAATAGGAGATTTGGAACAAGTTCTTGAGCGAATTCGGGCTGGAAAAACTCGAATCTGATGGTAACCTCGCCTACGTATATTTGTAACGTTTCATGATCAAATGCTCCAATATGAAAAACGGTTGTTCTTCTAAAATAAATGAAATAATATACATAGATTAACAAAATGTATTACCTCCAGTAACATTCTTTTCTTTGATGATCCACATATCTGACTAATTTTGTACAAATAGATCCTAATGCTTGAACTATATCTCCACCAAATGGATCAGACTAAAGATTGATTTCATGAATCAGCTGTTCAGAGAAAAAATAAAAGAAAATAAATTTATGTGTGATATTGAGATTATCCCAGCTTCTTTGTGCGAATTGTTCAAATTCAGCAATATTTCATGAGCTATTGGTCGATAAAAAAAACACTCTCTGGGACTTACCAGTGGTTTACTGATAAAACTGAATACAATTCAGCAATTCCTTTGATTGATTTCATCTCATGTACAAGATTTGCATGATGTACATATATGTAATATCCATTTTAACTTTAACTGAACCATAATCATAATTTTTTGTATTAATTAAAATACGCATCGATTCGACTTGTTGACTAAATTGCATGAAAGATTCTTCTGATTTTTCTTTTTATAAAACTAAATATTCCGAAAAAGACAAAAAAGTTAGTGAATATAAAACAATAGTTTGATTTTTACTCGACGAGATAGTTGATCAATCTTCATAAATTTTAATTTTTTTCTGGACATTTGATGATCATATGATTGTCGTTTTTCACCAATACTTGAGACGAATAATCGAATACTTGGCGATCATGAGAGACTTTTTAGTGCTGACACTAAAAAACTCTGAAGGGTGTGTGGATGTGAGTGTGAGTGTGGGGGTGGGTGTGTGTGAGGATGTGAGTATGGGTATTTGTGAAAGGATGATCCACATCGACATCTCCACTCATACCCACACTCACACCCACACCCTTTGAGAAAACTCTCAGCTGTCAATGATCGCTTTTTCGCATTTTTAGAGCCCTCGAAAATTCATCGTTAAGAATTATAATGGAGTGAACACCAGATTTAATTTGGTTTTTAATAAAATCTTTTTTTTTCATTTAATCAATTTTATTTAAAAAAAATAATTATAAATCATGCGATTCTACTTGATGGATCGATTTTAAAGAATATTTTTAAGTGAATTCAATTTATTTGATCATGTTTCATATTGAATTGTTGTACTGCGAACTGATCAAGAATAGTCATATATGTGTATTCAAAAACTTACATTTTTAGAACAACAATTATGTTCATGTTTAAATAGATGATCAAGTTTATAAAAAAAGTAATTTTTTGTTTTAATTTTTAGAGAAAAAACAGAACTGAAATGGTAATTTCAAATGTGTGAGCAACACTATTAAAACTAATCTTGTCTGAGATATTGAATTGTTTTTCCAACATCTATTAGTCCTAAGTAATAAATTCGAATAGGAAATTTTTCATTAGAACAGATTTTTAGTTTCTCGAAGTTTTCTACGTACGCATATTTTTATATTCTCTTATCAATATGAAGGCAATGAATTAACTGATATAATAGAACAGCGCAAAATCTATTATATTTGATCTATTAGATTGAGAAGAAAATAGTGAACGAAAAGTAAAAGTTAGAATTTAATATAAAATAGAAGTTTACTTGATATCGATAATAAGTGCCCGTAATTGCATTAGTACATGTATAAACATTTCGCATTGAAAATAAAATTTCTAATACATCAAGATGATCAACAATACAGTAAATAAGTACTGCTGATAATGTATGAAGCGATAGACGCGTTTTGTTAGCCGTTGAGATTTTTCTTTTTTTACATGTAGGCTCGGTAAATATATATATTTGTTTTCAACTTTTTTTCTTTGTGTTCGAATGAACAATTGTTTGTCGTGTGCGATAATTTTCTCTTGATTGCGCAGTAACTTGCTTATGAGTTCAAGTGTAAACATCTGTTATGAATAACCCTAGTCGAACATCTTGTAAGCAAGATCTTGAAATCTTGGGATCGATAAGCAAGATCTTGAGAAGATCTTGAAAAGATAATTTGTATGTGCATATCTTGGGTGTATCAGATAAATCTGTGCTTAAGATCTTGTTAAGATCATGGAAATTATATCATTCACTATTATCTTCCCACAAGATCTTGAAAAAGAAACAAAAAGCGGCATCATTAGTGTATTAGTTACATACTGATTAGTCATTCACCGTTTTTCTTATGCATACAGAGCCGTATATAAACGACGTGATTGAACATGCGAAACATACATTTTTCAAAATAATCTTTTTTCTAAACTCTTTCTCGGCTATTAATCCTTCGAGAAATTGCTGATCTCGATCGCTGATCGAGAGATGACTACCTGAAGCCATCTGATGGCGATCAAACCATCTCAAGAACAGGCAGGTTCCAAGATCAGGCTTGCTTCAGTTATTCGGAATAGGAATAATTAACCTATTGGGCCCGCTGTCGCCCACCGGTGGGCGACGCTATACTAAGTTGGAAATAATATTTTGCCAGGAAGGTACCGCTATAATTTCAAATACAAGATATAATGAATTTTATATCAAATGAAAGCTCGTCAAAAATCGGGGTTTATTGGTACTAAATAGTAAGGATTATGAAAACCTTTTAACGTCGAACTTAAGAAATTTCTCAAAATTTTATACTTTTTTTACGGTAGAAAAGTAAAGTGCCAGTAATTGAAAAATGGATTAAAATGTTTTTCTTGGATATTTTTACATGGTTCGATAGAACTCGTCGAGCTCTACAAAGCTATATATATTAAAAGCTTTTTGAGTCATTTTTTCATCATAAAAAATTCAAAAAACTATTTGGAAAATCTTAAAAAAACGTTAAAAAAAGTCATATTTTTGATATGGAAGAAAACCACTCGAATTTTCAATAAAATTTGCTATTTTTTTGATTATTTTTACTTCCTCAGGTGTTTCGAAATATATTCATTCGATGCAGTTTTTCATGCTGCATCAAATGAGTATATTTTCAAACATTTTACATAATGATACTAATGGAAAACAGCTGAATTCAGTGTAAAAAAAGACCACTTTTTTTCCCTACAAAAAGTGTAAAAAATGCGGGTTTTTTGGTATACTCTGTAGACAGTTTTCAGTGGATTTTAACCCAACAACTCTGTTTAGAAATTTTTTCATATATACAGTTTTGTAGAGCTCGACGAGTTCTATCGAACCATGTAAAAATATCCAAGAAAAACATTTTAATCCATTTTTCAATTACTGGCACTTTACTTTTGTTACCGTAAAAAAAGTATAAAATTTCTCAAAGTTTCTTAAGTTCGACGTTAAAAGATTTTCATAATCCTTACTATTTAGTATCAATAAACCCCATTTTTGACGAGCTTTCATTTGAAATAAAATTCATTATGTCTTCTATTTGAAATTATAGCGGTACCTCCCTGGCAAAATATTATTTCCAACTTAGTATAGCGTCGCCCACCGGTGGGCGACATCGGGCCCAATGGGTTAAAAAGGCATCATCTTGAGGGTGTGGGTGTAGATGAAGTGAAATAGTACACCCACCCACACTCAATGTAGCTGTTTTACATATTAAGTCTGATATTTCAAAAATTTATGTAGACCTGTGACTATACACGTGAGTGAAATCAAACATGCTAACATATTTTATTTCGTAAGACCCTCCATTCAATGAAGAGAATTCGGTTTGGAGTACTCTGGTCGGAAAGAAGAGGAAACCTATTAAATGATCACAGAATGTCCTTTGTCTAACATTCTTTTCTCTTCTCCCTCATGAATGGATGCTCTATGGTAAGTATTTGATAGTGTGCGCCAGCGATCATTGTCCTGTCTTTTGTAACAATGCATCTGCACTTACCTAAGAAAGATACAAGTTTTTCTGCGATTTTCTTCTGAAACCAATCTTATACGTATATATTTTTTTATTAAATTGAAGGAAATACAATTAATGCATGATTATTAATAGCGAATATAATTCATAGACAAAATAAAATAAAATTTCAGTTTTACAGTAGCTCGTTATTTGAGATGAATTCTTCTTAAATGCAATTTCAATTTATTTTTTCTTCTGCTCGAAGGTGTGTCAGTTTTTCTTCAATAAGTTCTATTATTGAAAATATAGTATTTATGTTTTCTTGTAATTTATTCATTTCATCCTTTAATTCATTTAATTTATTTAATTCTTCTTGTGACCAATATACCCCTAATGTATGACCCGCAATTGTTGTTATTTCCATTCCTGTTATAGTACCATATAACATAAGACCTGTTGATGTTAATATAGCTGTTGGTGTTTGCATAAATTGAATACCATTTCCAATTAATTTTATTACATTATTTATAGTACCGCCAATATGATTATCTCTACTTTGTTCTATAGATTTTGAATGTGCATCGATTTCTAATAGAATCATATCTAACTCTCTTTTTGCAAAATTGATTGATATTCTGCCATATTTCAAATTTTGCCATGCAGAAGAATACGATTCTTTAGTTTGAACTAAATCACTTAATTTATTAGTTGGTATAGCATAAGATTTTACATATGATTCTGATTCCTCAATATATTCTTCAACTTTTTTAATTGATAATCGTCATTTGTCAGATTCACGATACGTTTTACTTAACTTAATTTGACTACATGTTTTTCGTAACGTGATACCCATTGCTATTAATGAATATATTGCACCATAAACTTGTTGCCATAATGAATTTTCAAATTGTTTTATCATTTCTGTATCCATTTGTTTCATTAATTCATTTATTTTTGGGTGTGGGTGTGGGTGTGGGTGTGGGTGTGGGTGTTGGTGTGGGGTGTGGGTGTGGGTGTGGGTGTGGGTGGGTGGGGTGTGGGTGTGGGTGTGGGGTGTGGGTGTGGGTGTGGGGTGTAGATGTTAATCTTCTCTTCATTCATACCCACACCCCGACCCAGCCACCCACACCCACACCCAATTCAAATATTTGCTTCCTGTCCTATTAAACTTCAAACACATATTACGTACGTAGGTGAACACAAAACTGGATCGAATACTTTTTGAGTAACATGGAATTGTGGAGAGATTTATAAAGAAGGACCAAACCAGATTTAAATAAATGTATATCAAAATCTAAAGAAATAGTTATGAATAACGATATAAAATCGAATTCAGAGATTGTACAACATCATCAAAACAGCATATATCAATGTAGATTTGATTTGGGGGGAAGCATTTGTCTTTAATCAGGAGATTCATGGGAAATAAAAAATGAATCATAGCATACGTTTATTTCACCATTCACAATTCGATAAATTATCATAATATTTTTTAGTGCATAATGACCCTCTTTTTTATGTGAAGCATCTGCAATGATCAATAGAGTCATAGAAATCAGATAACAAAGAATTTATCTATGATGAGAATGCAGGATGTTGACAGTGGAATAGAGGAAGCAGACCATTCGTCTATAACTTCAAGCAGTTTCATCATCTTGTCGTCTCACTATCACATGGCAAATTTAAGAAGAAAAGAAACAGAAATTAAAATGGCAAAATAAATACATTTATATTCAACGTTTGAACAAGACCCTACAATTGTGGAAGCTTTGGGTTATTTTTTTTTACATGATTATTATACAAATATTATAATTAGCTCCAATGATTTGTTTGTATTTTATTTTAATTTTTAAAAGCATGGCACACCAAAATAAATATTTAAAATTAATACTCAAAATATCAAATCAATTCAAGATTAAGTTTTTGTATTTGTATCGTATTGGTATGCGAATGAGAGAACAAGAAAAAAAGGTGAAATTCGCAAGGAAAAAGGAAGTATGTTGTGATAATAGCGTCATCATTATTTTTCGCATACTACGATACTCATTGATAATTTTGTGCACAGTTACCTTTCGGGTATACAAACGAGGCATGAGAGAGCAAGCAAATAGTGATTAAATTTCCATATCGAAAAAAAATAAGGCATGGTTTGACATCGTTCTTATCATTTTTCACGATATGGTTAATGCGCGAAGCAAACGAAATTTTCAACGTATATGTCACAGTTGACATGAGAATTTCAGTTGAGTTTGGAATGCGCGAAAAAAAATATAGAAAAAAAAGAGAAAACAAAATTAAATATAAACATAGATTTGAAGATAGAAAAAAGAGAGAGAGCATAAAAAATAAAATCTTTCTTTTTTTTTCATCAATAAATCTATTTGATTCAAATTGAATATTATTACAATATTATGAATGGATTTTTATAAAAGATTTATAATAT